TTAAGATGACATCTTAAGCCTTTTTAAAAAGATAAAGCAAATCTCTTCTTTGCTTATTCTTTTGGTCAGTCCCTTCCTTAAGCTTTTTAGTTTGGGCAGAAAGAAGCCTTAGCTTATATTTTGGGTTTTGATGAATGCAGGGAAAACCTGTTTGTAGGCAAAACCCATTTTGCCTTTTCATTTCTTCAGTGTTTTGCAGTTCCCACTCGTTCCCGCGAGACGAGGGAATTGTTGTTTGGACAACACATTTCTGTGCTTGTCCATTTTCATGGCTGAAGCAGGTACACTTGCATGAATTCTAGAAGGCACGATTGCAGCTTTTGCTTCAACCACGGCTAATCATCATTTCTTATGGCACTTCATAGAAACCGAGAGCTCTAAGAGTGCACACACTAACAGATCAAGAAGATTGTGGTCTTACCTGCTTAAGCTCAGCAGTTCTTGCATGGTTTATTGCTGGCAGAACTTTTATCATGTAAGATTAAATTGTTCTAGGGAATTATACTGCCAAGTTTGTTATTTTTGCCATCTTATGTCTGTTATCTTAAAATATTTAGTCTTTGTGCTTCATTTCATCAAAACATGGTAAAAATGATATAATGTGTCTTAATTCATAATATACTAAGCTGTTACTTAATTAAGCAAATGAATTTTAAATTTTTCATGTCTCTGCTTGTGTGAGAAGTCCCTAAGATTTTTTTTTTTTTTTCAGACTGGTACAAGGTTTAAACAAGAACTGAGATTCAGCTTAAATTTGTTAATAAAACTGTGTTCCGTGGCTGCCTAGTGGCGTATCTAATAGTCCTTTGTTACTATGGGCTTGGATAGATTGTGAAGGAGAAAGGTTAATGCAAGACAAGATTTTTCAGAAATACTAATTGCTGTAAATCATTGGAAACACAGTTGTTACTCCAGTTTAAAAATTAGTAATGGAATCTGAATTTCACTAGCATTCAGGAATTGAAGGGAGCATTAATGTTCGACTGTTCCTTTCTTCTTTGCCTCAGTTTCCCTTATTTACTTGACCCCTCTTTGTGGCTGGGGTTAGTACATCTTTCTGTATTTCTGGAGCCGTGTTGCTTGATCTGTGCTTTAGAAATACTGTTCGCAATCAACATGAATAAACACAATGAACTCAGCAAGCAGAGTTCGTTTTATTTGGGAGGGCTGTAGCTCTGCGGCATTAAGGGAAAATAGCGAAACGTTCAGGATTTGCCAAGAACTTTGTATAATGATGGAAACCCCAGGAAAACTCATCTTTGGAGGAGCGAGGCTGTCTCTGCGGATCCATCACAGGTCGGCGTGGCTGGTGTTTGCCCGGCGCTCCGTCAGGAGGCTGTGTTGGGGTGTGCTGGTGTCTATCCCTCAGCACTCCTGTCTTGGCTGCTCCGTCCTGCGCCGCGCAGATAAACCCCGTGTACGGCTTAGCTACCGAAGAACAAATGTATTGGAGAGCCTGCGAGTTGATTCAGGTGCAGCAGAATACACTAGATCTACTTTGCAGCATTTTTTCCCTGCGCTCTTTTCTCTGTAGAACCCCTAAAATAGGGCATCGCAGTGGGGTTGGGTTAGGCTGGGGGTCTGCAGCCCACGGAGCCAGCCAGACTTGACACTGAGCTGCCCTGAAGACCCTTCTGCCTGTGCTAACTTGTTATCTGAGCTAACAAGTCTGACCAAACCGAAGTTGGCTCTGCGTGAAGCCAATTCTGGATTGTCTGCATCTGTGCTCTGGGCTGATCTACAGCCCAGATCAACTGCTCTGATAATTGAAGGATTGACTGAACTTAACGTGTCCTGCCGAGATGGCTTCTGTGGAGTAGAACTTAACATTTTTGTTAAGATCTTCACTGTAATATCCCGTTGATAGTCATCTGCCTGCCTCACCTGCGTGACTGGGACAGGGAACACAAGCTGTATCAGCTGTTTTCTATAACTGTAAACCCCGACAGGATAAACATTGAGTAGGGATCACTCCAGGCTCCTGAATTTTGTGGGTGCAAAAGATTACAAATGAAAAAACAGCGACGGCTTCCGTAAAGAAAATGTTTAGCAGTTTGTCAGTGTTGTCATTATTACAAATTTGATACAAGTCTATGTTTAATTTTTAAAAGCTGTTTTTCTGTATATAAATTATACCTGCCAATTGTTCTACCTAGACACGTGAGTGAACAGAAATCTAGGATTTGAGCATCCAGTTAATCTGCACGGAATTTGCTGTTATTTTGCACCTGCAAAAGGTGGATGTGAAATCAAGCTCAAATTTGAGCTGAGAAAGAGAGTGCTTTAGCAATAAATATTTTAGATTCCTCAGTTCTGTTTGAAGGACTCTACACCCTTAAGTAAGGAGAAGCCTTGCATCGAATGAGCGTGATTTGTGTTACTACAGGGCGCTTTTTTGTTGTTGTTTGGTTGGTTTGGTTTTTTTTTTTTAACTGTTTCTGACTTTGCATCTTGCCTGCAGAGTTCTCAGAAATCATGGTTTAGCTCTGAATAGTGAATGTCTGTAAATCTGTGCCTGCCTCATCATGGTGCCTGTAAAACCAGTGTCTGTGCCAACCGAAAAATAGATCTAATATCCCGGATACTTTTTTAGGTCCAAACTTCCTCTACCCGAGGCCTAAAGAATGGATGGATGCTTTTTAATTCGTGATGACATAATAAGAAGCCATTTTGCGACAGAAAATGTTCTCTAGTTCATAATACGCCACTTAAGTGGTAATTTGATCTATTGTATTAGTGCTAATAGTGTGCCCGATAATAGGAGATATTGTGTTGCAAGAGATGCCATCTGCTAAATGAAACGTAAAACGGAGGCTCTGACCTCTCCTGCTAGTCTGAAAGTCTCCGTGGCAAGAATAGGTATGTTAACCCCAGGACGCTGGACAAATTCCAGACTCAATGGCAACATTCATCCTCAATGTAATTTATAGCTTCATCTGGATGTAGTATTTTCTTTTGCTTATACTATTGTTGAGTTTTATTAAACAGTTGTTGCCTTTTAAATCGAGTGAGCTTTTCAGTGTGATTTTGCTTTTAAAGGCCTTTGGAGTTTTGCATTCCAAGTGGTGCTAAATATTTTTTTTTTTTATACCGTTTTAAAAAAATGTCTTCCCCCCCCCTTCCCCAACCCTCTCAGTACTTAATGAAACTTTTCAATGAGGTGCCATCAGAACTGTTGTGAAGATGTACATTGTGATAGAAACTAACGCAAGCTTGCACTGCCGTTTTCCTAAACGTTCACTGTCTGTAGCTGCTTGTGTACCCCAGAAAAGATGCGTTGATACCTGAGAAATCCTAAATTAAGATGTAGAAAATTATCTAAAAAAATTCAGGAGCAATGAAAAATTTTTTTTCGGATACGTATAGAAACAGTCATATTGTCATAATGCTTGTTGATCTTTTTTCATTCAAGTATATCGGTAACAACACACGTTTATTACAGAGGAATGGATAACATGATTGAGAACAGAGTATCCTATAGCCGCGTAGGAACTTGTAACAAAGAACCAGATATGTGCACAAACCCTTGCACCTGTGTGCAGTTTCTCGCGTTATTGGGCCTGTAGGGTTGGCCTTTTTATAGGTTCTCTGCAAAGTGTGTTTCAAATCTGAATTTGATATTGAGAAGCTGTGTTCAAGTGTCAGCTCAGCAGGCTAAAGATGGGGGTTTGGACGTGTCACTTCTGTTTTTTTCAGTTTTTTTGTTGGAAAAATGTTATTAATAGTAATGTATTTAATATGTAAATACAAGCACTTAATAGCAGCTGTAAATTCTTTGTTTATTTGCCAAGCTAAATTGATGAGAATTTAAGAATTGGAAGTTTAATGTTCAAGAAAAAAAAAATTCCTTCCTTTCTTTCTCCAATAGCTCCAAAGATTACTGTGCTAATACCAGATTACTTTTTTCATGGGTGAATACTAGGTAGTGTGGTTTAATCTATTTTGCATTCTTCCTCAAGAGTAGAAGCAATGTTTTATTTTTCACTTCTCTTTTGATAAATTGGCAGGTTTTTGTTTAAAAGTGTTACATTACTGAATGATTTAAAAATGTGTTTGGATTATGTAAGAAATCTGACATACAGTGACAGTGAAAAATGTATGACTGCTAAATTTTAATACTATGGATTTTGTGTAGATCACGATCAAGACCTCGTCAACGTTCTTATAGTCGAAGTAGTGAAAGATCCAGTCATAGGAGAACTCATAGCGGGTCTCGTGAAAGAGAGCGGCGTAAAGGCAGAGAGAAAGAAAAAATAAAAGAGAAGGGCAAAGGAAAAGAAAAGGAGATATATGGCACGAAGCATGGGTAAGTGAAATGACAAACAATGTATAATAAAAACAGGGAACCATTTAGTGTTGTTTTTCTTTTCTCTCATTCATTTGCTTGATAGTACATGATACTTTCTATGAACTGAGTGGGAATGATTTAAAATCTTTGAATAGTGTGATTCTTAGTATTTTAAAATTCTCAAATGTGACAACATTTCAAACTAAATGATGGTTTAATTTACAGTTCTCTCCAAATATGCTAAATAGCTTTCTTCAATTGATTAAATATTTTTTTTCAATATATATTAACCACGATTTAAGGAAAAAATGAGGACTATTGGAAAGTACACAGAGCGTTTCCTTCGGAGAGATGGTTTTCACTGTTCATTCGCCCCCTCCCTTGTCAGGATTTCCTATGGGGCTTCTCTTGGGGCTCAAAGTGCAGTTTCAGCAGAAGCACTTGCTTCGGGTGAGTGACGGACTCTGCCTTTCAGCACCTGCTGCCAACCTACTTTCTGCTTGAAATGACTTGGATTGTTGATCTTGGTTTTACAGATTTCAGAAAAGGCGGTTTGTGTCATTACCTCTGCTGTATACATCATCATCTCCTGCAGCCTTTACTGTGATGTTTAGCTTTTCCCTGTTCACGGGGTTGGTTTCAAGGAGGAGGACACGGGTGTGTCACTCATTAATTTCCCTTTGGTGGGTTCCCACTGAAACGCTAAATGGGGGTTTCTAGAGCAGCATCTTCCACCCACTTTTGTGGAGGTATCTCACAGTTACCTCCCTGGTTTTACGGCTTGCTGGTACTAGTTAGTGTCTCTTGCATATTGTTGCCTCCATGTCCGTGGTTCTAGCACTGATTATGTAAATATCCAGGATTAGCTATTTGCATGTTTTTTTTCTTATTTGTAGTACTTTACTTAAGACTGCTGGGAACTTCAAGAGTGGCATCTTCCACTCATTTTAAGGGATACTTTCCTCATATTACCAAACCACGGGGGCTATTTATCTCTTCTTGTGGCTGATGTTTTCAGCAGTCAGTAGCATTCAGTGTAAACAGAACCCCTGACATGTTTGCAGTACATCTGATAAGTCAACAACAGGATGCCTTTTACCCATTTACCTGAAATTCAAATAGATTTTGGTTCTTCTAGAAGACTTGAGGAGAAACTTGGATGTTCCAGCCAAAATTATTATTATTTTTTTTAATCAAAGTAGAAAAGTAGGGAAAGGATCCATACTGAGCTCGTCACATTTGGTGCGTGAGAGGTTTTCTGGACTTTGTGGAGAAGCACATCTTAAATCACGCCGGGGTGTGTGGCAGCACTCTGTCAGCACACTGCCTGACTTCATGTCCTTTTATAACGACGGTCGATATCAGAGAGCTGTAGGAAGTACACAAGAAGTGCCCGGAATTTTTTTGGAAGTAAGCAATTTAGCTTTATATTTTGATAACTTAGAAAATTGCTTATGCTAAATTTGAAAACAAAATGCCCTGTTTGGGTCGTTTCCAAGGTAGTTAGGACAAAGAGTACAAATTGAGAATAGAAACATTTTATGACCTCAGCCCACTTTCCTCTGAGCTCAGGTCCTGGCTTTGTGCGGGGCTGTCTTACCGGGAGCATTATCAGACTACAGAATGAAACGTACCTGGGGTGGTGTTGATATAATCTCTGCTTCATAAACTTTTTGGAAGGGGGACGGCGTGTTTTTCAGTTTAATCAAACAGTGATCAAAGTATATCTGTACAGAGAATATGGATCTGAGAAGCTTTTTCCCTTTACAGTTATTTGTCATTTCGAAGATTGAGACTGTATCAGCATCATGGTATTGTTTGTTCAAGGCTTTGCAAAGCAATATGTTTGAATACAGAGAGAAGACAGAGCTCTTTGATGCCATTGCTGTTTGCAATTACTGCATAATTATTTGTCTACGGAATATTCTCTTATAGACCCCAGTGAGAGTGAATTAGGAACCTGCACTTTTCCCTAAATGCATGTGTGTAGGAAAAAAGAGGTAGCGTAATTTCTCTTTGCCTTGTGTGTGCTCCAGAAAAAAACGAGGCCCAGCAAGGTCTTTTGTAGCTGTGTTTTTGTATGAGGCTTCCTCAAGCCTCCCAAGCTCTCAGCTTTCTTCCCTCTGTATCATTTATTTATGTATTTCTTTTCCTTGTGGGTGAAACATAAAGGAAAAAGAAGTCATCCTTCACCACAAGCTTACCTGTCCTTAGTTTATAGGTGTGTGGGAGGGAGGATGGTACAGCACAAACTGAGTGAACATTTTGCCTGGATAATCTGTTGACTTCTGGCATTTTTTTTTTTTTTCTTTGGTTTCAGCTGCAGCAGGGAGATTTGATGGTTCGTTTGTTCTGTCGTGATGCTCATTTCTGAGGGAAGCACCAAGATAGAATTTTTTGTTTTCCAGTAACTGTAAGGCCTTTTGTAGTTGGCTGTAGTCAGCAGAAGGTAACGAGTTGGTTTTGCTGATATTTTTTGAGGGCATATGTTATAATTTAGGGGTTTTGTCTTGTAGCGGTGTCAGATGTCCTTTTGTGGGTATGGTTAGAATTATAACTCTTATTATAGCTTGTCTCTGCCGCCGAGGGTCTTGGCAGATTCCGTGACTGGTGCTGCTCTGCCGCAGCACAACGGGTCACTGCTCGGCTCGAACTTCCCCGCTCACGCCGCTGACTTAAGGCTCAAGTAGTCAGGAGGCACTAAAACAATTTGCTCCGTCAGCTCTCTTCATCAGAGAGACAGTAGAGATAGGTGATGCCTCCTCAAAACGTGGTGGTTTTATTCTTAAGTTTGATCCAATTTGGACAGGCAAAAATTAAGTATTTTATTTTTTCCTCCTGGCATATTCTGCTGTAACTTACATAGTGGTGGTGCTGTTTTTTCAACTTGTTCACTACTTTTTTTTTTTTTTTCTCTGAAGTATGAAGAAGAAAGTCTTCATGGACACAAAAAATGACTGTCAGGTGTACCTTTGGGTGTGACGTACCACGGAATCTGTTGTGGATGACTCTCCAAGTGAATGAACTTCTAAATCTAGTGTCTAGATCAGCACTAAAAGTCACATCATTCTATAGAACCTCTCTAGAAATTCCAACAGCAGGGGATCCATAGAGGGAAAAATAGCCCTCTGATCTCTGTGTTTGGAAGAGATCCACACAGGTACTCCAAGACACGTCAAGGGCCAGATATAGTTTTCAAAAGTTTGGAATGTTTTTAGTGAAAATGGCTACGTTAAACCTATAATGAAGATCAACCAAAAGCCAGATTGTGAGAAGGTGGAATATAAATTACCGGGTGCTGTTTGACTTTATAGTTTAACTTTGCATAAAGGAAGATATTTCAGTTTGCCAGCGCTGCAGGTTATTTGATGTAAGTAGTCATATATTTGGGACTTGATTCTTCATGTCAGAGGAGGAACAGTCAAAATGAAATTTTTGCACTAATTAAAAAAAGCAAATGGTTTTATTTGTTCGTGGCTTATATGAACTCCAATGATAATTTTCTGAGCTTGGCTTATGTATGTTTGTAGGTGTGAGGGGAGAAAGGCTTGTGTTTGGTTTTAAATCAGGACAGCTTTAGGTTCTTTCAGAGTGATCTCGTCTTCACAGTAAACAACTCAAGAGAGAGTTCAAGAGTAAAAAATTCTGCTGTAATAATGCAGTTGTCCTTTGGCAGTCTCCTTTTTGCTGAAGGTTCTCTGAGGTTGAGCACTGAACTTCTTGAACGTTGAAGCGTCGGCTGTTTTGTGGAGACGGGCTGTATTACAGTTGTAGCAGAACAGCTGAACTCTTCTTGACAATCTGAAATGTTTTAAGGGATATACTATTTGTTCGGCCATTATGGAGGGAGATTGTGGTAACAGCTGCTTTGAATTTGGGTTGGGAAGCTCGTTTACCGCATCTGACAGTACGTGGTGAAAAAACCTGGTGTTAAGAGCGGTCTACCAAGCTTTGAAATAGTTTTGTACTCAAAAGGTAAAGCAACACAAACTCAGAAGGTGTCCCAGTTGCCCACCCTAAATCTTCATTCAAAAGTGGTCTATTTTAAATTATCAGAATTATTTCATTTCCAGTGAAAACTCTTTACAAAATAAAGCTGACACAATAAAGCTGATGACAAGCAGGTAGCTGGAAATGAGCTTAACCAGTTTGTACTCAGCCACTGCAGTGCTACTTATTTTTCCTTCTGTTTTGCAGGTAATCTGAACTAACCAGTTTGCTTCTGCTGCTTTGGTCTCCTGATCTCCTAGTAGTTGTTTGAACTGTGTTCCTTTTTTTATTTTAATTTTTTTTTGTTTGTTTGTTTGTTTCTGTTGCAGTGCATGGGAGAAAGTGCTTTATTGCCTGGAAGGATATAATAAAAATCAATAAATGGTATGGCTTTTTCTGAATAACTGTTGCCAGCATTTCCAAAATAAAAGCACTTTCTTGGCCTTGCAGCCTTTTCTATTCATCCACTCTCCCAGGCCAAGTTTCAAATCGTATTTCTCCGTTTGTAATAACGATATTGTTCTCTAGTTATGACCCATGACTGCAGTAGTGGTGTTGTGTGCATTATTCTTTGGACCATTCCTGTATACTAGAACTCTACCAGTGCTCATGGTTGGTAATTAGCACACACATGGTTGGCTTTCCTGTTCCTCATGGAAGTTTAACCAAGGAGCGGTATATCGAGGTGTTACCACACCGTCAGAATTTTTACAGAGCACACTATATCTGCTGATACATTATGAAGTGTTATAAATAGAATTGATTTGATAAAATAAGGACAAATATAGATTTTTGTGATGCATTGTCGTTTTCTGTTAACTCTGCAAAACTTTATAACGCGTAGTCAACATCTGGTGTCTAGTTCTTAGCAGTAAGTTTTAGTCTAGTGATTTTCTTAAATTAAATTTTTGTTTATTTGAAAAAAAAAGCAAAACTTCAGTGTTCATTGTTCTACCAAAGTAGTTTATCAGGTCCTACATTTGGCTGTCCCTTTTTCTGTTTTTCTTCACTTGGTTTCATTTTTATTT